ACTGAGGAAGGCATTGTGCCGAGATGTTGGTGTTTTTAAATCACCTGAAGACTGTACGAAGCAACAGTACTAAGCAATTGCTTGATAAGTGTGGATCATTGTCTTTTGAGTCATTTAATAGAGAACATAAATAATACTCGATACAGCTACTGTTTTTACAGTATTGTGACGGTTGGGTTTAGGGTTGGGGTGGGGGTTGACGTTAATAAAATACAATAAATGGGAAATTTAATCAATAATATAAATAATTCTGGTTAACTTTCGACCATAACCATATCCAATCCACCAACAGGCATTTTTGGGACACTTAATTTTTAAATGTTCAATCCACTTACATTTGGAAAAAACTTTTTTTTTATTTTACCTGTATATCTGTTTGTGTTCGGACAAGAATTTTGTGAAACCCTTATTTTTTTTACTGTGTTTTAAAAGAATTTTTGGGTGAACTATCCCTTTAAATACAGTTGAAGTCCTCCTGTTATTCACCCTCCTGTATTATTTGCCCAGCTGTTTATATTTTTTCTCCAATTTCTGTTTACTGGACAGATTTTTTCAGCACATTTCTAATCACGATAGTGTTAATAACTCATCTCTAATAACTGATTTATTTTCTCTTTGTCATGATGACAGTAAATAATATTGACTAGATATTCTTCAAGACACTAGTGTTCAGCTTACAGTGACATGTAAAGGCTTCACTAGAGTAATTAGGGTAAAGTTAGGGTAATTAGGCAAGTCATTGTATAACAGTGGTTTATTCTGAAGACTATCAAAAACAAAACATAGCTTAAATAGGCTAATAATATTGACCTTAAAATAGCTTTAAAACAATTTAAAACTGCTTTTATTCTAGCCCAACTAAAACAAATAATACGTTCTCCAGAAGAACAAATATTAGACAATATATAAATATTAAAAATAAATATTAAATATTGGAGCAAATACTGTGAACAATTCCTGAATCTGTTTAACATCATTTGGGATATACTGGGAAAAATAAATAAATCACAGGAGGGCGAATGATTCTGACTTCAGCTGTATATTCAGATTGATTTCATCATGCTCTGAAAAATACCTCAAAACAACACAATGAATGTCCCGCTCAGCTGCCGTAGTTGCACCGCCGCGTCCCTTTAAATCATGCTTTACTATGTTTTGTCGGGGCTGAGCGCAGTACTGGCTTCAACACTCTTGGCTCTGATGTTGTTTCCTGCTCGCGCCCTAAACAGTAAACAAGTGAACACCAGGATGTGTCTGATCTTCATCTTGATGTCACGGTCAGTCTAGACGTGAGTGCGGTGGGACTCATGAATAATTCAGCAGCGTTCCCACAAGGACAGAGCTGAAACCTGCTCAATAAAGCATCCGCTCCGTCTGTTCCTTCTTCAGGGTTACAGTCATGCTGTTGATGTGTTGATAAACCTCGGCAGCTCTGTGTTTCCATCCAAACATGTGAAACAGGTTTATGAGCAAAACTGGAATATCACATACAGTTGAAGAGGGAATTATTAACCCCCCTGAATCCCGTATTATTAGCCCAGCTGTACATTTTTCCCGATTTCTGTTTAACGAAGAGCAGATTTCTCCATCACATTTCTAATCATAACAGTGTTAATAACTCATCTCTAATAACTGATTTATTTTCTATTCATCATGATGACAGCACATAATATTAGACTAGATGTTCTTCAAGACACTAGTGTTCAGCTTACAGTGACATGTAAAGGCTTCACTAGGGTAATTAGGGTAAAGTTAGGGTAATTAGGCAAGTCATTGTATAACAGTGGTTTGTTCTGTAGACTATCAAAAACAAATAATAATAATATTGACCTTAAAATGGTGCTTAAACAATGAAAAACTGCTTTTATTCTAGCCGAATTAAAACAAATGAGACTTTCTCCAGAAGAACAGATATTATCAGACACACTGTGAACATTTCCTCAATCTGTTCAACATTATTTGGGAAATATTAAAAAAAAAAAAAAAAACAATCAAAGGGGGTGAATAGTTCTGACTTCAACTGCAGATCATCAGTGAGCAGCAGCGTCTCCATCAGCGCTGCACAGTAGAGCATCTCCTCCTCAGCTCCTGCTGCTCCTGCACAGATCTCACTGAGGGACGTGGAGTCTGCTGCACTGTGGGGATTCTCCGCTGTGTGTTCTCCTATAATAAATCAGTCAGAACACCAAGACCAAACGCAATGAACACGGTGAATGCAGTGACATGAGCACAGACGGATGCTCAAGACAGTTCTGGAGGGAATAATAACAGGAGAAGAAGAATACTGAAGCACTGTGATGACGGACTGATGCGGGACTGAGACCTTTTACAGTCATCACAACAACATCTCACATCTGACACACCAACATTAATGACGCAAACACCCTCACACACACATTTATATTTGTCAGATCATCTGATCAGCTGAAACTACAGCACTGAAGAGCAGACGCACACGCATGCTACAGCTGATTACAGCACAGTTTAAGAGCACTTATTATTATCAGACACAGAGTTCATCCTCTCCAGTTGTGTGCTTTATTGTCATGTGCATTTTTCAAAATGTATGTGCATCTATATGTATAATATTCCAAATTCAGCATAATAAATATGTAGATGAAAACAGAGCTAGTGTTTTAGGGTTAAGCTGAGCGCCAGTGTTGATGATGTGCACTGCATGTCATGCTTTTCTTACTTACAGTTTCTGCTGTTTCTAGTCCAAATATCTAAAAAAATAAATCAAGAAGCATTTTCTAGACAAGCAAAAATATCAACCCAGACTCATCCTGAAAATGTTGTCCTGCAGACGTTTCTGGAGACCACGAATTATGTAGCCGGAGGTATGTATGGCTGCATTTCATTTTTTAAGCGAACGCTACAGGGCGGTCGTTCCTTTTGGCGCTTACCAGCTGAGCGCTTACCTCCGTGTGGAGGGCATTCCTGCCGCAGCCAGTTTGTCCAGTTAGCTCGTCGTGTACGTCCGCAGACTTGGGACACAGAGAGGAGTTGACCACGACGACATGTATGGGGAAGAATGGTTCCAGAAATCACGTAAGACAAAAACAGTATTTAAAAGATAAACAGAACGAGTGAATAACAGGTGAGAATGTGGTCAAATCTGAAAACGTGATAAAAATCAGACGAGGGCTTTTCTACTTCTGGACGGCTTTTGTAAACCTTCAGTTGGGTTTAGGGAAGTAAGCGGGCGGGCGGGCGGGTCCATTGGTAAAATTGGTTGGGTTTAGAGAAGGAGCAGCGTCGGTCGGTCGGTCGGTCGATTTGCCGGTCGCCCAGTCAATCATTCAGTCGTTCATCAGCAGCTTCTGGTAGGTTTACGCGAGAACAGTGCAGATGCGAATGGCACTCGCACACAGCGGCCTCTCGCGGATTCCCAAAAACAAAAACTGCAAAAATACACACATCCCGGGACCTATTTCCCAGTCTCCAGAAACATACGCCGGACTACGTTTTCAGAATGAGCCTGGGTTGGAAAATACTTGTTTTCAGAAATAATGAGTCAAATGAAGTGTTTTTACCTTAAAACAGGCAAAATAGCAGAATAAGCTAGTTTTCCCTTCTGACATAAGAGTATTTTGTTTCCCCCATTGTCAGATTATTGTGCTTGTTTTCAGTAAAAATTCCTTTAATTTTGTCTCATTATTTCTGTAAACAGGACAGGATGTTTACTTGTCTGTAAAAGGCTTCTTGATTTCAGAATGTTCAGATATTTGGACTTTAGAGACAGACTAAACTTGTAGGTAAGAGCAGCATGTTTTGCGTGTGGGCCAGCATGTGTTGATATTAAATCTCTGGCATGATTAATTAATGCTCAGGGCAGAGCCCCTCGCCCGCCGCTGTGTGAATGAGCACAGTATGAACACAGTAATTAGCAGCTCCTCTGCTTTGCTCTAATGACATCGTTACGTTGCAGATGCCCTTTACACAGCTTTACACCGCGGTCCGGCTCATTCACTGGATTACAGACTCGACGCACCACATGCTGCATTCAGCTATTAGGCTTTCTCAGATTTGACCTTTCATTCATTCATTTTCCTTTGCCTTAGTTCCTGATCTACCAGGGGTCGCCACAGTGGAATGAACCACCAACTATTTCAGCATATGTTTTACACAGCGGATGCCCTTCCAGCTGCAACCCAGTACTGGGAAACACCCATACACACTCATTCTCCCATACTCTAAGGTCAGTGTAGTTGATCAGTTCCCCTATAGCGCATGTGTTTGGACTGTGGGGGAAACCGGAGGAAACCCACACCAACACGGGGAGAACATGCAAACTCCACACAGAAACACCAACTGGCCCAGCCGGGACTCGAACCAGCGACCTCCTTGCTGTGAGGCCACAGGGCAACCCCACTGAGCCACCGTGCCGCCTTTGGCCTTTCATGTAGTGTGTAATTCCCTTATTCTCAACCTCTCTGGAGCATCAGATGTGACCCTGGAGCTTTGGAAAACTCTAACATTGAGATATTATGTTTTGCTGCATGATACTCTGTACTGCAATATGTACATAATTTCACCAGATGATCTGAATCTGATGTATGTGGGAAGATTTCCTTCATGTAGATCACCTGGGATGATCGAGTCCTCCATGCGGTGCATCTGCATAACATATAATCAATCTAAAATTGAACAATCTAATGTAAAATAACACAGTCATTATTGCATTGATAATTTTAAAAATAATGTTTAATAACTGGCGGTTCATTCCGCTGTGGCATGGAATGAATAAATGTTTAATAACATCTTTATCTTTTACATCTTTACTAAATATTGTAATCCTGCGATGTGCAAATGCATATGCAAACACAATTCATTCATGTTCATCATCAGAGGCTGCTGGAGATACGCACACACTGCTGAGGTTAAACCCTGTATGAAAGTGGTTTGTGCACAACATCTCCCCTTGTGCTTGTTCACTGTCAGTGTTTTCTCACTCTCTCTGCATTATAAATTAAACACTTCCTTTCTGTTCCTCACAGCTTCCTGGTGACCTGAGCAAGATGCACCTGACGGACCACCCACATCAGCAGATGCACATGGCCAACAGCCAATCAGGATGCAGCATCGCCAGCGACTCAGGGAGCAGCAGCCTATCAGACATCTACCAGGTGCGGCCACTTCCTCTTCCTGTTCATACGCCAGACTCTGAGCTGTGTGTGGATCCGTGTCTGGGTGAAGTCTAGAAGGGATACAGCTTTTAAAACACTGGACAATACCACTGAGAGGGTTGAGTTAGTTTAGATGTTAACAAAATACGATTTAATGGGTAAATTGATAAATAATATGAATAATATTATCTTATAGTTAGGGCCGGGTTAGACTTTAACAAAACACAATAATAAACAATATTAATAATTCTTGTTAACTCTCATCCGCGGCTGTATCCCTTCTAGCAACAACCCTGTTTCTCCTGGAGCTTTTCTGATGGATAAGCCCTGCTGCAACAACATACACATGAAAACGAGACACTTCACTCATGCCGAGTTCAGACTGCAGGATTTTAGCCCAGATTTTTAGTCGCCGACAGGTTTTAAGAAATCGTAGACAAATGCCTGAAATCACGGGCAAATCGCTGCTCGTGCACGTGAGTGTCAATCACACAGTGTGAACTATCAAAGACGCCATCTGAGAGAATCGGCGATGAGTTGCCGATGCCTGTGAGATATTTGGCGTGCTGAACATCTGGAGCTGTCGGCGATACAAATCATGCCTGACTGAAAATAACATCAGCGATCGCCTACAGCCAATGAGAGAGCAGCATTCACCTGTGTGTGTGTGTGTACCTGCAGGCCAGCGGGAGCTTGAGGGAGAGGTTAAAGCGCTCAATTTAGGTTTATTATTGGCTTTAAGACATCACTTTTCTGGGTTATTACAAGACAGATTTCATGTGTTTGTATATGACAGTGCAGGAGTCCATCTATTAGCCCAATGACGAAACTAACAGCATGGTCGAAGGTTTAATGCATGTAAGCCTTTTCTAGTGCTTCTGAAATTTCTTTTTTTACTTATTAGTATTTTTATTAGTATTAATATTTATATTATTAGTTATTTATTTATATTCGTTTTTTAGCTTCGAATTCAAGCTGACTCTTGGCAGAATACAATTTTACCTGACAAATAAAATGTTAAGTTTTGATTAATTCTGGAGTTTTGCGAATTTATTGTATCCAGTAGATTACGAGGAGTCTTCATTACCTTTATAGTGTGGCATAAATTGAATTGATTAATAGGCACATTTGATTATACGTAGCCATAGAGAGCCTATAACATGTAGACCTTTTAATCATTTAACCACTGAAAGTAGCACAGAAAACATCAAAACTTTAAATTAAATCATAAATGATGAATGTGATCCGTTTTTACAATTATCAAAATATAATCAAAATTTTAGGATCATTTAAATTGGAGTCAGATTGAATTCGGAGCTAAAAAACGAATATAAATAAATTCTAAAAAAATAATGAAATTCTTTTCAGAAGCACTAGAAAAGGCTTACATGCATTAAACCTTTGACCATGCTTCATGTTTCGTCATTGGGCTAATAGATGGACTTCTACAACAGTGCAGTTGTTCTTCAGCATCTGTAACTTGATTTATTTGAGCATTAAGCGTTCCAGAAGCTGAAAGTGTCTCCTTTTCTCATGATACCTACTGTTTGTAGCTCATGGAGTCAACAACTCTCACCATTTTCATTTAGGTGGGTGTGAATGCCCCGAGTGCAGAGCTGGCTGACAGGTCACGGCTGATTTCTGAAATCATAGAGAGTGTAATATTTGAATGATAATAATAATAATAATAGGCCACTCAATCAGAATAGTACAGTAATTATACGTGTAAGTGTATGTCAGTGAACAGGCCAGACTGTTCTGTCAATACAAGTCAAGTATTTTAATGTCAAGTGTGAGTATATTTCCGAGAAGCACTTAAAAAGGAAGTAGACTGGAAATAAAAGTGGAAAAAAAGGAAATAAGACTGAAAGTTTGCTTTCTTATCGTTTAGTTTAGAAGAAGTGTACTGTAGCACACCTGATTAAACTTATTCCTCATAAAGGGAAATCTCTTGAGGAGAGATCACGCTGACATCTGAACTGAAGTGAATCAGCACTGAACTCAACTGAGCTTTGAACTCTGATTATTACACAGGAATACTTGATTCTGATTGGCCAGTCATGAAATTCCAGGGTAGATAAAGTAGATCCTGGAGGTTGTTATCTCAGAATAAAGCGCTACAGGTTTATCAGCAGCGGTTAGATAAGACTGAAGGGTTTATTCTGCAAAAACAACCATCTATTAATGGACTTGATCATGATTATTATATGGATACTTGCCAGAAAATATAATACATAGAAACAAAATATTGATAAAGCCTTAATAGTTTATTAACTCTTTAATTAATTGCAAAGCTAACAGAAACAGCTGAATGCAGTATACACTAACCCGTAACAAAGTGAAGCACGCAGTGATAAAAGCATGTAGAGCTAGTTCAGAGTGCTGTAATGAAGAAACGATTTACCTTTAGAAAGCTGACGCACTGTAGGTGAAGGAAACATGATTGGACCATTAAAATGCTGCAGCCAGACTCCTGACCGGCAGTGGTGAATACGAACACGTGTCGCCGTCTGAACTCCTCTCCAATGGTTACAATTGTTACCTTGTAGTGTTTGTTTTTAAAGCACTGCCATGGTCCATCTCCACCATATCTAGCTGACATCTTGCATTCATTCACTCCACCCGGGTCTCTCAGGTCTTGCATTGATCTGTTCGCAGATATGAGTCCAAACAGACTTTAGCCATTTTGTTATAGCAGGACCAAAACTCTGGGTATGGATGTGAATCATATGTGGATTCGAATGGATGTGTCGTCACCCTCCACCTTCAAGTTCAAACTTTCAAGTTCATTTTTAAATCTATTTATGTGAGAATATTTTATGGATGTGTTCTTAAATGTACCTAAATGTATTTTATTGTTGTATCTGTCACATGTTCAGCTCTTTGGTCATTCCTGGTTGTTTTTTAATGTGCCTTAATGAATGAATGAATCAATCAATCAATCAATCAATGTGTGTGTGTGTGCAGGCCACAGAGAGTGAGCTGGGTGATGTGGATCTCTCTGGTCTCCCTGAAGCTCCAGTGGACTCTGAGGAGGAGGAGGAGGATGAAGACATGGACCGCTCCTCAGATGCACTCCTGGCCAGAGATCTGGTGCGCGAGTGTCTGGAGAAAGACGCGCTGGACCGCACAGACGACGACATCGGTATTATTATATTATCGTTGTTCCTGATATTTTTCTATGAAGATTGCAGAAATCTCTTTAAGATGATCATACAGAAATAAGACTCATGTTGAGATGTGACCTACACAACATAAAGGGAACATTATATATTTAAAACCCTGAAAACTGAAAGCTAGAGTAAAACATAAGATGTCCAGGCCTGCTCCTCTCTCGTCTCTCTCCTCCTTTTATAGTCCAGAGCTCCTCTGTGGGATTGTCACTCAAGCCCCACCCTCATTCCATTCCCACGGCTCTCAGCCCCGCCCACTTACCACATAGTGGTAGTCAATGTTCAGTTAGTGAGGGAAGCCCGGCAGGCACCTTGATGGCATATTTTTAGTTTAGAACATGCATGCTAATACCTGAATAAACAGGTAGGCAGTGAGCGTGCTACTGAGGGTAGTGAGAGGAACTAATGTACATACCTTGACTGGACAGTAGCCTATTTTAGCATTATTTCTGAATCAAATCATATAATGTAGCTTATACACCAGAACAGCTCATCTGTGTTGCATTTCTCTGTGCGGTGACATTTTAACCATTTATTTTATGGAAATTTGGCTTGCTTTCCATTTAAAGTGGATTAGAACTGCTGTCCAAAACCATTAAACAGCAGCCATCTTTGTGCTGACAATTTTAAAAGAAGTTTTGACAGTGATGTGAATTGTGTGTGTGTGTGTGTGTGTGTGTGTGTGTGTGTGTGTGTGTGTGTGTGTTTGCGTGTGTGTGTGTATGTTTGTGTGTGTGTGTGTGTACGTGTGTGTGTTTGCGTTTGTGTGTGTGTGTGTGCTGTACGTGTGTGTGTTTGCGTGTGTGTGTGCTGTACGTGTGTGTGTTTGCGTGTGTGTGTGCTGTACAGAGCAGCTGCTGGAGTTCATGCATCAGCTGCCGGCGTTCGCCAACATGACGATGTCAGTGCGGAGGGAGCTGTGCCGGGTCATGATGTTTGAGGTGGTGGAGGGAGAAGGAACCGTCATCCTGCAGGACAAGCAGGAGGTACAGCTACACACGCTAACAACACTGTCCGCTAGCGGAACTGACCCTGTAGAGTTCACAAAACAGACAGTCAATTAATCAATCCATAAATCAGTCAGTCTGTCTGTCCTCAGTCAAATCAATCAATCAATCAGTCAGTCAGTCAGTCAGTCAGTCAGTCAGTCAGTCAGTCAATTAATCAATCAATCAGTCAATCTGTCTGTCATCAGTCAAATTAATCAATCAGTCAATCAATTGAACAATCAGTTAGTCTGTCAGTTATTTCATTAGTCGGTCATTCAATCAATAATCCATCGATCAGTCAGGCAATACATCAAATGGCCTGTCAGTCAATCAAAAAATTTGTCAACCAATTAATCAGTTGCATAATCAATCAATTAATCACTTAATTACCAAATCAGTCAGGCTATCGATACATTAATAAATCAATCAGTCAATAAGTTCAGCCAATCAATTGATCAATAAGTCAATGAATTAATCATTCAATCAGTGAATTCATCAGTCAGTCAATTAATCAGTCGATCAGCCAACAAGTCAATAAATCAACCAATCAATCTTCCAATCAATCAGTCAATTATTCAATCAAATAATCTGCCAATCAATAAGTTATTCGATCATATGTTTTAGCAATGAATAAATTAATCAATAAATCAGTTGTTTAGTCAATCAATCAGTTATTCAATAAAGCAATCAATTGATTAATTAGCCTGTCAGTCAATCAATTAGTCAATTACTCAACCAATCAATCTAACAATCAATTAGTCAATTAATAAACCAATAAATGAACCAATCAATTAGTCTGTTAGTCAATTAATCAATCCATCTACCAGTCAATTAGTCAATTACACAGCCAATCAGTCAGTCGATGTATCCACCTGTGCGCAGCTGGACCTGTGGTATGTGATCCTGAACGGTGCGGTGGAGATCAGCTACAGTGACGGCCGATCAGAGATCCTCTGTATGGGAAACAGCTTTGGCATCACTCCATCACTGGACAGACAACTGATGAGCGGAGCCGTGAGCACCAGAGCAGACGACTGCCAGGTCAGACACACACACACTCTCACACACACACACACACATTCCCACACACACTGTCTCTCTCACACTCTGCTGTCGTGTGTGCAGTTCGTGTGTATCGCGCAGCAGGATTACTGCCGCATCCTCAATCATGTGGAGCAGAACACACACAAGGTGGAGGAGGAGGGCGAGATCGTGATGGTGAAGGAACACCGAGAGCTGGACCGCAGCGGCACACGCAAGGGACACATCGTCATCAAGGTGAGACTCAGCTGACGACAGGTCAGAGGTCACCTGGAGGAGCTCATACAGGTCAAAGGTCACCTGGAGGAGCTCACTCAGGTCAGAGGTCACCTGGAGGAGCTCATACAGGTCAAAGGTCACCTGGAGGAGCTCACTCAGGTCAAAGGTCACCTGGAGGAGCTCAGAAATGTATTGGATGTTTGACGTATATATGTATGGAGTGTATCATGTGGGAGACGCAGTGGAGTTGTATGTAGCGATGTCGCCACACAGCATGAAGGTCGCTGGTTCGAGTCTCGGCTGGGTCAGCTGGTGTTTCTGTGTGGAGTTTGCATGTTCTCCCCGTGTTGGTGTGGGTTTCCTCCGGGTGCTCCAGTTTCCCCCACAGTCCAAACACATGCACTATAGGGGAACTGATCAACTACACTGGCCGTAGTGTATGAGTGTGTGTGTGTGTGTGTGTGTGTGTGTGTGTGTGTGTGTGTGTGTGTGTGTGTGTGTGTGTGTATGGGTGTTTCCCAGAGATGGGTTGCAGCTGGAAGGGCATCTGCTGTGTAAAACATTTGCTGGATAAGTTGGCAGTTCATTCTGCTGTGGCAACGGGAATAATAAAGGGAATAAGCCGAAGTAAAATGAATGAATGAATGTTTGACGTAGACTGCGTCTGAAACTGCATACTTCCATACTATATAGTACACTATAATCAGCATGTGTGCCGAGTAGTGTGTCCGAATTCATAGAATTGGATAATCAGTATGCGAGAAGATAACCTACTGCTTCCGGCGAGATTCTGAAGTGTGCATCCCATACACGCTGCGCTGTCCCATGATGCCTGCGAGAGAATTCACGAATGGGCCTAAAGCGAGTAGGTAGGTCATGTGACCATGACAAAATTGTAGTACGTCTGAGTTCCATTAATACTGCTCACATTCATACTGTAGAGAGCGCACTTTACTGGGTTGCAACATCCCATCTGTGAAAACCTTAAAGTCAAGCCTCATATCAGCACAGAGTCTGTGTACACATCATCTGTACAGTTCAGCAGAGTCTGAGTGTGCTGTGATCAATCTCAGGGTAATAACAGTCAGTTAAAGGCTTCACCCTGTTCAGTCGTGGTGTTTTGACACAAGTTCATGTAGTTTACAGCGTTTCCTTTACTGCTTAGACTGAAAGCGAGGTGTCGATGGTCACTTCAGTTTCAGGCTGTGGGTTTCTGATCCTGTGTCAGTTTCTGATCCTCTGTTGAGTCTCGGGAAGATGCATGCACAATACATCAGCATCGACATCACACAGCCACTACATCACTGCAATAAATACAGCACAGAATAAAGTCTTGTTTTCAGATATAATGAGAAAATTAAGTGAGTTTCTCCCAAATCTGCCAAGAATAGAGTATAATATGAGTAATATGAAAACAGTATTGTGTTTGCTTTTACTTTGGCAGATTATTGAGCTTATGTTAAGATTATTATCACACTGTCGATTATAATGGAGAGACATTCTGAAAAAACAAACGTCCTGTCATCATTTACACCATTCAGACCTGTCTGAGTTTCGTTTTTTCTGTTAAACACTAAAGAAGATATTTTGAAGAATGCTGGAAACCTGTAACCATTGACATCCACAGTATTTGTGTTTTCCTCTATGGAAGTCGATGGTTACAGGATTTCAGCTCTTCCTTTGTGCTCAACAGAAAAAGAGAAGCTCATGAGAGTCTATAACAGCTTGAGGGAAAGTCAATAAAGATTTCTGGGTGAACTATCCCTCTTACCTCTAAACCCACTGTACATTATAACAGACAGACTTAGTAAAAAAAATATCTGTAATTCTTTCATCAGTTTTCTGACTGTCATCAGTGCATGTTGTCCTTTTTTTCTATAGTAGTCATTGAACTGTGGCATGCTTCTGTGTTTGGAGTGAACAAACACAGTGGGTTTCCCCCTAGTGGGTGTGTGTCAGATTACAGCAGACGGAGCTCTACTGTTGTCAGTACAGCTGGCTTTGAACTCAGTCAAATGCCCTGGGAAAATAAAAATGTGTGTGTGTGTGTTTGTGAATCAGTGCTGTTGTGAATGTGTGTGTGTGTGTGTGTGCGTGTGTATCACTCATTCATTCATTTTCTTACCGGCTTAGTCTCTTTATTAATCCGGGGTCGCCACAGTGGAATGAACCAGCAACTTATCCAGCACATTTTTACGCAGTGAATGCCCTTCCAGCCGCAACCCATCTCTGGGAAACATCCACACACACATTCACACACACACAGTTTAGCCTACCCAATTCACCTGTAGCGCATGTGTTTGGACTGTGGGGGAAACCGGAGCACCCGGAGGAAACCCACGCGAACGCAGGGAGAACATGCAAACTCCACACAGAAACACCAACTGAGCAGAGGATCGAACCTGTGACCTTCTTGCTGTGAGGCGACAGCACTACCTACTGTGCTACTGCGTCACCTGTGTGTGTCATTGCTCTGCTGCTGTGTGTGTGTATCAGCACTGTTGTGTTTTGTGTGTGTGTGTGTATCATTTCTCTGCTATTGTGTGTGCATCACTGCGCTTGTGTTTTGTGTGTGTGTGTCAGGGCACGCCGGAGCGTCTGGTCCTGCATCTGGTGGAGGAGCCGTCAGTGGTGGACCCCACATACATTGAGGACTTCCTGCTGATGTACCGCACCTTCCTGTCCAGCCCCATGGAGGTGGGAAACAAGCTTCTGGAGTGGTTCAGAGTCGACGCTCTGAGAGACACGGTCAGTGTGTGTGTGTGTGTGTGTGTGTGTGCAACAGTCTGAGAGACATGGTCTGTGTGTGTTTATCAGTCTCTTGCAGCTGACGTGCTGTTTCTCGTGTGTGTGTGTGTGTGTGTGTGTGTTTGTGTGTGTGTGTTTTGCAGGTGACCCGGATCGTGCTGTTGTGGGTGAACAATCATTTCAATGATTTCGAGGGTGATCCGGTGATGACGCAGTTCCTGGAGGACTTCGAGAAGCTGCTGGACGCCTCGGTCAGTCATATGTGTGTGTGTGTGTGTGTGTGTGTGTGTGTGTGTGTGTGTGTGTGTGTGTGTGTGTGTGTGTGTGTGTGTGTGTGTGTAAAAACACAGATGTGCTTTATCACTTTTCATTAATGTGCTTTATCACACACGTGCACATGCACATACACACACATACATATGCACACACATGTGCACACAAACACACACATACACATACATGTACACATGCACACATACACACACATGCACATACGTGTACACATGCACAGATACTTACACATACTACAGACATGCATGTACATATAAACATGTATGTACACACACAAACACTACACACATACTATTTACATACTACACACACACACACCTACACAAACACACATACACATGCACACACACATGCATTCACCCATAAATATGCACACACACATACACATACACTGCTCTGACCTTCAGTCTGTCTATGCTGTGTGTGTGTGTGTCAGAAAATGAAGGGTCACCTGCGTCTGCTGAACATCGCGTGCGCGGCGAAGGCCAAGTGTCGTCAGGTGACGCTGCAGAAGTCCTGCAGAGAGTCTCCGCTGATGTTCAACCTGCAGGGCGGCAGTGAGCGCGGCTTCGGCATCTTCATCGAGAGCGTGGAGCCCAACAGCAGAGCAGCAGAGGCAGGACTCAAGCGCGGAGACCAGGTAATACAGCACACACACACACACACACACACACACACACACAAACACTGCAATCTTGACTTTACAAATCACACTCCGAATCACCATATCAGTCCAACAATATCACGGTTGGATATTTCCCGAACTCATCCTGCCCTACTGCACTTCTGTCCACAGGTCTTGGAGATCAACGGGCAGAACTTTGAGAACATCTCCTACACCAAGGCCATGGACATCCTGAAGAACAACACACACCTGTCCCTCACCGTCAAGACCAACATCTTCGGTACATCACACACACTACAGCACCGCAGAGCACACAGGAGAACACACTGGAGTCATTTATAGTGAATACTGCGGTGTGTTTGTGCCACACTACAGAAGAGTAAATGACGTAGGCGCCCATCACACTGAACAGGCTTTCTCCATTGAAAGGCGCCTTTTTTGATTGATTTACTAACGGCTGCGAGCGCTATAGGGAACTGATCAACTAAACTGGTCGTAGTGTGAGAGCGTGTGGGTGTGAATGAGTGTGTATGGGTGTTTCCCAGTACTGGGTTGCTGCTGGAAAGGAATCCACTGTGTAAAACATATGCTTAAATAGTTGGTGGTTCATTCCACTGTGGCGACCCCTGATAAATAAAGAGACTAAGCCGAAGGAAAATGAATGAATGAATGATTAGAAATGTGTTGAGATAATGTCCAACATATGGGAAATATTTTAAAATAATTGAAGTTTCATAGGAGAGCTCCTCATTTTGACTTTATAATTTTTTCAAAAATTTTATATAGTTTTTTTTAGATGTATTATATAATTATTTGTTTATAATTTTATAATCGTTCCTGCATCCAGGCAGAAGAGTGTGGCGTATGTGTTTAAATGCTGGTCGTGTGGGTTAAACTTGTCTTGATTTGGACTTGTTGTAGTTTTCAAAGAGCTCCAGAGTCGCATGAGGCACGAGAAGAAGAACGGCGGTCCTCATATTCCCAAGATCCAGGAGCGGAAGAGCAACCGCTTCTCCATCCCGGATCTGCCCGGAGACATGGAGTTTCCCACCGACAGCAAGAGCCACAAGAAGATGAAGGCCAACACCGTTTCTGGAGGACGCAACAAGATCCGCAAGATGCTGGAGAAGACCAGATTCAGCATCCTGCCCCCTAAACCCTTCAGGTAAACTGAGGCTCCCTGCAATATCACTCCCTGACACTAGATGAATGGATTAATGGAGTGCCCTAAAGCCCTGAGCACTTGATGTTACAATCCCAATGCATTCTGGGACATATAGGTGCTGGAGTGAACAACCGACTCACTCCCTCAGTCAAGATTGAGTCAATGTGCATGTGAGTGAGTGAGTGAGTGAGTGAGTGAGTGAGTGAGTAAATGAGTGAGTGAGTGAGGGAGGGAGGGAGGGAGGGAGGGGGAAGTGAGTGAGGGAGTGAGTGAGTGAGTGAGTGAGTGAGTGAGTGAGTGAGTGAGTAAGGGAGGGAGGGAGGGAGTGAGTTAGTGAGTGAGGGAGTGAGTGAGTGAGTAAATGAGTGAGTGAGT